TCGACGAAAGAGGGGGAGGCCTTCAAGGAGATGGATTGATACGGTGGCTGCAATGATGGGCTCAAGTATAGCAGGGATTGTGGGGCTGGCGCGGGATAGGGCAGTGTTTCGTTCTGCTGTGCATGGGGTCGCTATGAGTCGGAAACGACTCGACGACACTTAACAACAACAACAACAACATGAGACAGACAAGAAATAATGTTCCCCCTTACTCCAACAGTAATTAAATAGGAAATGGTGACATAGATGTGAGGAAAAGAAAAAAGTCTATTTTGATTCATGAAGACCACATGGATTACTGAGCAGACGTGTTCCACGGGGTTTTCTAGACTAAAATCTTTACAGAAGCAGATCACCAAGCTTTTACCTCCGAAGTGCCACGGAGTGGGTTCTAATCACCCACGTTTAGGTTAATGCTGTTTTCTGGGAGGTTGATTTTGGCTCATAGTTAAAATAGCTAACCTTTCAGCTAACAGTTCAGTGCTTAACCATTAGTAGTGGTAGTTAAGATTGTGTATCGACTTGGCTGGGCCATGATTCTCTGGTTCAGCAGTTATGACGTGGTCATCCTCCAGGATGAGATCTGGTATAATGTGAACTCCTCTATGGTGAGACCTGCTGTGGGCACCAGGCAGGGCTGTAGCCTGCTTCCCTTAGATACAGACAGCCTGGCAAAGCTCTCTGGCTTTTTGCTCAGTCTGGATCTTGCATCTGGCTCATTCTCATCTGACCTCTGGTTCTGGGCCTTGAACCAGTAGCCTGCCATCTTGCCTGCTGATCTTGGGATTGCTGCCTTCATGGGCTGTGAGCCTGCTGGACTGTCTGCCAATCTTGGGTTCAGCAGCCCCTGCAGCTACATGAGTCAGGAGAAGCCTCCAGCCTGACATCCGATTTATGGACTTGGGACTTGCCAGCTTCTACAACTGTGCGAGCCATTTCCTTAAGATAATTCTTTTCCTCTCTCCCTCCTTCTGTCCCTCCTTCCCTCTCTCTCTCTCTCTCTCTCTCTACATATATATTCACTGCTTTTGCTTCTCTAGAGGAACCAGCCTAAGATAGTAGTTGTCTTATTTATTGTTGCTGTAACAGAAATAGGAGCTCTGGTAGCACAGTGCCTAAGGCACTTGACTGCTAACCAGAAGGCTGGCGGTTCAAATCCACCAGCCACTCCCTGGAAGGAAGGTTGGGCAACCTACTTCCATAAGTGATACTGCCTTGCAAACCCAAGGAGGGGTTGTTATGAGTCGGGTCTGACTTGATGGCAAACAACAACAACATAACAGAAATACCATAAGAGGATGGCTTTAACAAACAAACTTATTTTCTCACATAAACAATGCTCAGTCCTGCTCCATCCTCACAATTGTTATGTTTGGGTCCATTGTTGCAGCCACTGGGCCAGTCCATCTCACTGAGGGTCCTTCCCTTTTTCACTGACCATGTACTTTACAGAGCATGATGGCCTTCTCCAGGGACTGGCCCGTCCTGGTAACACACTCAAAGACATTGAGACGATGTCTTGCTATCCTTGTTTCTAAGGATTCTGGCTATGCTTCTTCAAGAAAGATTTGTTCATTCTTCTGGCTGTCTGTGGTTTATTCAATATTCCTCACCAACACCATAATTCAAAGGCATCAATACTTCCTTTGTCTTCCTCACTCATGGTCCAGCTTTCTCATGAATATGAAGTGATTGAAAACACTGCACCATGGCTTGGTATTTTCAAAGTGACATTTTGCTTTTTAACACTTTACAGAGATCTTTTGCAGCAGATCTGCCCAATCCAATATGCCGTCTGATTTCTTGACTGCTTCCATGGGCCTTTCTTATAGATCCAAGTAAAATGAAATATTTTCTCCATTTATCATGGTGTTGCTTATTGATCCAGTTGTGAGGATTTTTGTTTTCTTTATGTTGAGAGGGAGCTCTGGTAGCCTAGTGCCTAAGGCACTAGTTTGACTAATTTGACTGCTAACCAGAAGGCTGGTGGTTCAAACCCATCAGCCACTCCTCAGAAAGAAGGTTGGGCAATCTACTTCCATAGTGATACCGCCTCAGAAAACCAAGGAGGGGTCACTATGAGTCAGATCCGCCTCAACAGCAGTGAGTTTGGTTTGGTGGTTTATGCTGAGATGTAATCCATACTGAACACTGTAGTTTTCGATCTTCATCAGTAAGTATTTCAAGTCCTCTTCACTTTCAGCAAGCAAGGTTGTGTCAACTGCATATCAAAGGTTATTAATGAGTCTTCCTTTCCTCCTGATGTCCTATTCCAGCTTCTCGCATTATTTGCTCAGTGACAGATTGACTAGATATGGTGAGAGAAAACAAGCCTGATACACACACCTTTCCTGATTTTAAGCGGTGCACTGTCCTCTTGATCTGTTGGAAGGACTGCCTTGGTCTATGTACAGGTTTCTCATGAGCACAATTAAAGTGTTCCAGAATTCCCATTCTTCACAATGTTGTCCATGATTGTTATGACCCACACAGTTGAATGCCTTTGCATAGTCAATAAAACACAAGTAAATATCTTTCTGGTATTTTCTCCTCTCAGCTAAGATTCATTTGACATTAGCAATGATATCTGCAAAATGGGCATGGAGGTGGCATCTTCCGACCTCCTTCAAAGTCACAAGGGGAAGACGGAATCAGCAGCAGCAGCCCAAGGCTTATTCCTGTGGGGCCAGACATACCACCACCCTCCAGCCTATTACCAACTCTGACACCCACCGTCCCTCCCACAGCACTTGCTACTTCTCTGCTGGGTTTGATAATGTGTTGCAATGGCCACACAGAACTCACAGACAATACTCATGATTATGGGGTTTATTGGGAAAGCAACAGGCTACAATTCAGGTTCAGGAACGTGCTCAGGATACAGTTCTTCAATCAGAACAGTCTCCCCTCTGCTATGCTGTCACACACGCCTTTCTGGCCCTTGGCCTCTGGGCCTGGCCTCTGCCCTTCTTGGGCAAATGTTACAAAGCTCTTTGAGCTCTGCCGATAGGTGGTGTGCATCCCACTCTACCAGCAGGCCTCCTGCCCTAAAGCATTCCTGTTTCTCACTCCATCCCCTGCCTCCTGGTTCCTCAGCCGGTTGTCTCAGCTCAGCTGGTCGTTTTAGTTGGTAGTCTCTGCCAAGGAGTTCCAGCACAGCGATCTCAGGTCCAAAGACATGCTCCACTCCAACTCCAACTCTGCTTTTTGATGGCAGTGAGATCCCCACTTCTGCCCCTAGGAGGGCTCACTTTAAACCCAGCGGCAGAAAAAAACTGAACAATCCTCACATTAGAGTTCCATATACCTTATTTGCATAGTCCCACCCAGTAATCTGGCGGGGATCACAAAGACTAGCTATAAAAGCCAAGTAACTCACTGCACCACAATATCCCTCATTGCACGTCCTTTTCTGACTCTGGCTTTAATTTCTTTAGGAGGTTAGAAGTCCAAAGTCATGCCACTGGCTCTAGGGGAAGGCTTTGTCTCTCTGTTGGTTCTGGGGGAGTGTCCTTGTCTATTCAGCTTGTTTCCTGGTTCCTTAGAGTTGTCCATGTGGCTTGACATCAATTTTCTCACATTCTGCTTCACTTGCTTGCTTACTTAATCTCTTTAACCCTATATTAATCCTGCCTCATTAACATAACAAAAATAAACCATTCCCAAATGGGATTGTAAACCAGGCATAAAGGTTAGGATGACAATACCTATTTTGGGGGGGCACAATTCAACCCATAACCCTAGCAGAGTGCAGACTCTTCACACCACCGGGTGCCAGGGAGTGGGAATCTGTCCAGGTGGCAGGAGCAGTGCTGCTGTTGGATGAGGTTCTGGAGCGAACCGGGAGCAGGGCGGTAGGAGAGCAGGGGAAGGGAAGGCCAGGAAGGTGGACCTTCTGGCCGTGGCTGAGGCTTATGGGGGCGTCACAGCCACTGCAGTGTGACTTTCACCTTCACGCAGTGGTGTGCTGCTGCCCGCTTCGGAACAAAGTTGACCGTTTTCCAGGAACTGTGTGGGCTGCTTGTTAAACACAGCCATTATTAAAAATAAAATTATGGAAACTTACAATTTCATAAATTATATTAAGAACAGGTAAATACTCCAGATTCATTGCTTTCTAACTATTTTACTGTTATCTGCACTCTTGAGGTTATTTATGTTTATTGTATGTGTATGGTTGAAATACTATATGACCGTGTGCTACTGTGAATCTCTTTCCAACTCGTTCAGTAAGGACAAGTAGGTAGTTTGAAATAAGCCTCGGTGGGCGTATTTACACCACATAAACTGGCAAAAACTACTGTTACGGGTTGACTTATGTCCCCCAAATATATGTATTGTAAATCCCAGCCTCTAGGCCTGTAGTTTATAATCCCATTTGGGAATGGGTTGTCTTTGTCATGTTAATGAGGTGGGATTAGTGAAGGGAGTATTTTGAGTATAAACTCTTTTGAAAGAGATTAGACAGTCCAGCAAGAAGAGAGATTGGGGGAAGATTGATGCCAAGCCACATGGAGCTCTCCAAGGAAACAGGAAACACAGCTGATGAGACAAGGACCTTCCCCGGAGCTGAGAAAGAAAGGCTTCCCTAGAGCCAGTGTTCTGAATTCTGAGCTCTGGTAGCCTAGTGCCTAAGGCATGTGACTGCTAACCAGAAGGCTGGTGGGTTTGAACCACCAGCCACTCCTCGGAAGGAAGATGGGGCAATCTACTTCCATAGTGATGCTACCTCGGAAACCCAAGGAGGGGTCACTATGAGTCAGATCCAACCTGACGGCACATAACAACAACAAAACTGAAAGAAAATAAATTTATTTGTTAAAGCCATCCACTTGTAGTATTTCTCTTATAGTAGTGATAGAGAACTAAGACAACTATAAACCAGTCTTTGTAGATTGCCTAGATTTAAGAAAGTGATAGAGAAAATGTTAGTGATGCAGATTAAATTTACACATGTCCTACCTGTAGCTATTATTGTAAATAACACAAAAATATTGAGAAAATATTCTCCATGATTTGAAATTATTATCTGATTCAACAAAGAAATTACATACTCATGCACATATAAGTCTTTGTTGCTTCATTTTTGTCTTACTTGCAAATATATGTATCAACCAACATTCATGTTGGGACTACACTTGTAGTTGGGATGTGACCTATTTGTCAAATCATGGTTAATATTGTATAGAATTTGCAACAAAGAATATTATATATGCATATATGTCTCTATCTGTAGAGAAGTATAGATACATATTTGTAAATTCTGAACTATAATTCTTTATATTATACAATTTATAATATAGTTATGTCCATATATATGCATATATTTTCCCCCAGAGAATCCATTGTTAGGCATTTGCCAGGACACCCCTGCTCCTGGGATCCTCAGAAAGTGCTCATCACCAGTTATCAAAAACAAGCCATTTCTTTTTTTTTTTTTTTAATTTTTGTTGTGATTTGTGTGAAAGTTTACAGAGCAAATTCATTTTCCAAACAGCAGTTCATACATATTTTGTTTCATGACATTGATTGACTGTAATCCCCACAATGTAACTAACAGCTCTCTTCCCACTTCCTCCCTGTAGTTACCTCTTCCCTGTGTCCTTCT